AACCTGCTGAGAGTCTAAGGGGTCTCCTCCTGTCCCCTGGACAACGCTTGAGAGGAGAAAGCTTGGGTGAATGCCACCTCAGAGTCAAACAAATTTGGCCTCAAAGTCAGCAGTGTGCAGCAACAGCTGTTCTGCACAGCCCTGCTCCCCTACTGAGGGTGACCAGCAGTGAAACTCCCATTCCCAGCACCCCAAGGAGGATGCAGCCTTGCCAGGAAGCCCATCCTGCAGGCACCTTGCAATGACAAAACGCCATCTGGGCTTCCAGCAAAGCCAAGCTGTTGCTAAGTCGAATCAGATTCACACAGGAGCCTCATGGAAATTTCCCAGAGTGCTGCTGTGTCATCCCGGGGATGCTCCCAGCATGTTAACCTCGTAAAGGGTTAACCCCAAGTCTAGGGGCTCTGGGAATGGGAGCTGTGGGTCTCAGGAGAGAACTGGAGCGTCAGGAGTCAGCTCATCAATTAATGCATTTGAGTCAATTCTGCTCACCAGGGACAGCAAGCCAGGGCACACACTGAGGATTTTTGTAGGTCATTGCCGAGCCCCAGAACCCACTCCCAGGGATGGTAGAGCAGCGTCAGGGGGACTGGCCCTGCAGCATGGCTCACCTGGACCATGTGACTGGGGCTCAACAGCATCCTGTTTGCTCCCTTCCTTGGCACAATGGCACTGTGTGCACAGGGTGAGTGGAGTCCCTTCCCCAGGTCGCACACTCTGTAAGACCTGGAGGGTCTCCTTCAAGGCCCCACAAGGCAGTGGTGGAGCCATGAAGAGGCCCCTCCTCACCTCAGCTGCCTCTTCCTTTTCCATGCAGCAGAAGGCAAATGGCTGAGGCCACGGAAACTCAGGGTTTTGTTCCGCTCTGCTTGTTACTGTGGCAGATCCCCCAGCAGCAGCCAAAACCTTCCTCGGGGATGAAACACTGCATGCCCTCCTGCACCCACCCAGCACCCACCAGTGCTCTGTGTCCCACTGGCCCCATTTCCAGCCCTGGTGGTACTGACACCCACAGATCCTCCTCTGAAAGACCTCACCTGCTCAGCTGGTCTCTAAGGTACAGACCAGAGCTGCCCCACCCTGAGCACACCTGGCTGAAGCACCTGGGAGAGACACAAAAGCCGGATGGAGAAACACATGAAGGTGAGACATTCACCATGATCTACAGGCTCCCAGGATTGCCCCTTCCTACCTCTTGCCCATACATGGAGTAAGCCCTGCGATAGGACTCACAGTATAGCGGGATGAGAGCTTCCCCCCAGTTCATACTGGAAGAAAGCAAGGAGCAGAGGGAAGCCAGGAACTGGAGTCAGAAAGCACAAGCACAGGCCGGGCTGTGCAGTGCCACACGTGGGCTGCCAGGCTCTATTTTAAATGCTGTGTGGCAAATATATGCAGGATGGAATCCAAGCTGGGGGAAGGGGAGGGTGCTGGGCAGCGGAGGTGTTCAAAATTAGGAGCTGAGCTCAGGCAAGGATGGCTTCTGGGAGCAGATGGGGGAAGAGCCAGACCTGGGACTGTGCAGCTGCAATGCCAGCCCTGGGATGAACAGCCCCACGGTGGGGTGTGAGGAAGGCCTGCACCCCACTGCCCTCCCAGCGAGGTGGGGACAGCAAGAGAACTGTGACAGCCAGGACACTCAGGGCAGCTGCAAGAGGAACCCGGCTTCTTCTGTGGCACGGAGACCTCTGGTCCCCCTCAGCACTGCTCCTGGCATGAGCGTCACCCGAAAGACACCTCAGTCCTCAGTGTGTTTACAGGGCAGCAAAGAGGAACCAATTCACCTGCCTTTTGCAGGATGGGAAGGCAAAGGACCCGGGGAGACCTGGCTGAGCCCCAAACCAAGCCCTGCAAACCTCCATACCCACAAAGCCGGCTTGATTCATCTGGATCAGCCCTGAAAAAGCTCACTGTGCTTTGCAAGAGGCTCCCGACCAGTGCCCCAGCACCCAGGCACAGCACAAGGCTCTGATGGGAGCTGGCAGATCTGGGATCATACCTGCCCTACATTCCCAGAGCCGTCAGGTTGACAGAATGAGCAAGTTTTTATATAGATTTTGGTGGCAGCGGTTTTCTTCACCAGTGGCTGGAGGGGTGGGGGGAAGGAAGGGAGACGGAAAATATTTTTGTTTAAGCTCTTTTCTGCATTCCTGCTGCCAGAGTTGCACATTACTCATGCGCCCCTCATACCTAGGCTGGTAGCTCTGGGTTTTGCTCAGAAAGGGCTGTGGAGAATTAAGCAGTTGGTTAAATTATTAATAGTCTGTCGGGGGCTGGCTAGGCCGCCCGCCCGGCCCCCGCAGCCTTTCGGGGGGCTCCAGTGCCCCCCAGAGGCACCGAAACCAACTACAGCCCAATGACAAACCCATGGGCTGCTCTACCCTACTTCGAGCCCACAGACACCCCGTTCTCCTGGCCTGGAAACCACCGGAGCTTCCTGGGACAGAGCCTCCCGTGCCTGGTCTCACCCACCACGTGCCCAAACTGGGCAGCCACCAAGCGGGTGCGGGTGTTCCACCCAACCAGAGAGTTTGGGGTGGCGGGAGCAGGAAGAGCAAAGGGGGAAGAGACCATTCGGGAGGGCAGAAGCCACAGGGGCACTCGTACTTGGCTGAAGGTACCTTCTTTTCACGGGGAGACGTGCCAAGCAGGGCTTGGCATTTGATGCCACAGCTGCAGGCTGCAAAACAGCACCCGAGTGCCTGACGTCTGACAGGGGCCACTTTCCATTGGTGCCAGGACACACTCAGAGGGTGGCACATGTGAGGGTTGAGTTTTCACCAGGCTCTCACCGCCCGCAGCAGAAACCATCCCTGATGGCTCCAGTACACTTGCTGTCAGACACATTCTGGCAGCACACTGGCCCTCACCTTCCTTCCTAACCCCTCCAGTTTCCTTCCTGCAGCCCTGACATCAGTTTTCAGGCAGCTTAACTTCCCTCGCACCAGCTGCTGCCTCACAACAAAAGGCCCGAGAGGAAATTTCATGGGGCAAAACACAACAAACGTGGCCTGCACAGGGGCACAAGCAGCTGGCACTCAGGCCACCCCAGCTCCCTCTGCTCATGGTTTTGCCAGCTCCTCCAGTCTTTCCCTCTCCTCTCCATTGGGATAAAGCTGGGCTAGACACCCCCAGGCCAGCTCCAAGGCCTGCTCTCACAGGGCTTTTGGCTTGCTAATTTTGCACAGGGAGAGGTGTCAGACTGGCAGCCCCAGGGACAAACCCCCTTTCACAGGACAGCTCTGGCACAGGCTTTGCAGGTAATTTCATTTTTGGCTTCTGGCTTATTTTTATCCTGCAGAATGCGTGCCAGTTACACACAAGTCCTTTCTCCTCCTCCCATCAGATCAGGTGACTGGGCAGGCACCTTGCCCAGGCACGGCCCGTACCCTTTCCCTTGCGCAGACAGCTGCCATGCTTGGGCCCTGCCCCACCACTGTGTCCAGCCAAGGCTGCAGGACCTGACTCGGCCGCTGTCCTAGAATAATGGAACCATGAAATATCCTGAGCTGGAAGGGACTCGCAAGGATCATCAGGTCCAGCTCCTGGCCCTGCTCAGAGGGCCTAACCCCAGTAATCCCACTATGTGCCTGAAAGCGTTGTCCAAACACTCTTTGAGCTCTGGCAGCCTTGGGGCTGTGACCACTGCCTGGGGGAGCCTGTTCAGTGCCTGACTACCCTCTGAGGGAAGAACCTTTTTCTAGTATCCAACCTAAACCTCCACACTCCTACCACTTATTGAACCATAGCCCCCAAAATTTTGGTCCTCAGACTGTCCCTTCCATATGCCAAGGGTCGACAGTCCCTAAGTCAGGGCTCCAAATCCTCTCTGTTCCTCAGAGGCACTGGGCATCCCAGTCCTTCCAGGATTTGGGGCTCTTCCACTAGACCCTGATTCCTTCTGGTGCCTTGCTCTCCCCAATGATATGTCCAAAACTGGCTGGAAGGACAGAGATCACCAGCCCAAGCTGCCCTCCTCACCAAGTACTAGTGGGACAGCAGGGACAGGCTGCAGTGAAGCCCCACATATGGCCAGGACAGCTGCAGCAAGCAAGAGAAGGGCAGTGCAGCCATTGTGTGAGGTCTGACCACAGGACACAACAGCAAAGGGAGGAGGAGACAGGGTCTGCACGGCCTGCTCATGGCATTGCTCCCTCGACTTGGGCAGTGAGGAGACACAGGAACTTGTACCTTGAGGGGTGTGAGGCCCTGATTGAGGGTTGGGCAGCTCTGCCCCGGCTTGGGGTCAAGGTGATGCCCAGGGAAGGACAAGTGAGACCTGCACAGGATGTGCACTCAGGTACGTGGTTCACAGAAGCCTTGCCAGCCTGCTCGAGCTCACCTCCTGCTGCTCAGCAGACAGTCGGGTTGGAAGTGTCTCAGAAGCCCTGGAAGGACTTTGACACAAGGACATTTCTGTACTAATGGAGGCTGCTTGGCCCTGCTGGAAAGCCATCAAGACTGGATAAAGAGAAAACTCTGCAGTACCTGCTTGATCTTCAAAGCTGGCCCTGCTCTGAGCCAAGGGCTGGGCCAGAGACCTCTGGAGGACTCCGAACCCATTTGCTGCTGCAGCCGCCTGTCCCAGGCCTGGTGGAGGAGTCCAACACTGACAAAAGGGTTGCAGGCAAGTGCCAGGACTTCCATCAGCGAGCACCAGAAAACGGACACTGCTCACTGAAGCCAGCACATGGAGGAGCCACATGGCCCAGCCCAGCTCTGCAGGTCTGCATACAAGGCTGTGCCACTTCCCCTGCTCAGAGCAAGCAGGAGACACTGAACCACCCACAGAACAACACCCCCTGCCCTCTTGCAGGGAGTTACGTGATGTCTCCAGCCATGGGAGCCCGTAAGGGAAATCTTCACAGTCTCCCAAAGGGCCGAGTGCCTGCAGAGGAAGGTCAAACCCCCGAAAAGGGTTGTGCAGGAAACAGTGAACACCCTGTCTGTGGTTTTGTCTCCCCCCTATCAGGAGCATGAAGAAAGTAAAAGATCCTTACGTCAGCAGCTCTGCTGGGGCAGCAGCCCCCAGAGGCTCCACCGACACAGAGCTGGGGGCTGCGGCACCCTGGGCTGCAGCTGATTCCTGTGTGCCCACAGCTCCCCCGACATCTGGTGCTGGGATGTGCTCCGTTGTCTCCACCTCAACCTCCTGAGCTGCAGGGCACAGCTTCACCCTCTCGGCAGCTGCAGCTGCCTCCTCCTCCTCCTCCTTCTTCCTCAGCTTTGCCTCCAGCTCCCGGCGCCTCTTCTCGTCATCCTGCCTGGCCATCCGCTCAAACACTTGGAATGCCTGGAAGAGAAAGATGAGCAGTCAGAGCCACCAGCTCTACCTGGGACACCAGGCAGGAGAGGACAGCAGCACACACTTCGAGCACTTATTCCTTCCTGTCCTTGCCTCTCTGGGCATCACACACTCCTCCCTACCCCAAGCTGCTTCAGTCACCAACAAAACCTGCTGATGACTCTTTGAAAAGTCCCACAGACATGTCAAACACACCTCAGAGACAGCCTAGCTCCTGGGAGCATTTTGGAATTGTTTCTTCGGTCATGTTCTGGCAGCCAACCTCACCCCAGCCTGCAAAGAGGGCTGGTTACTCCAGGGAAAAGCAGAGTGGTGAGCTCTGGCTCCTAGCTGGGAAGGGGCTCTCAGGGAATCTCTCCTCACTCCATGCTCCAGGGCTCACCCATCTGAAGCCTGGAACTCAAAGCTCCAAACTTTGAGTTCCTTGGAGGACCAACCCTCCAAGGAGCAAATGGAATGAACTGTCCCAGGAGAAGCTGTGCCCAAACAGACTCAGAGCCCCTAAGCTGGGGCTGGAGGATATGTAACCCCAGGAGATGCAATCCCACCCCACACCCGCCTCCTGGCCATGCCTGTCCAGTGCAGGCTGGAGGTCAGAAGTGAACTCAGGAGGTCAGTGAGGGGTGACGATGACCTGGGCCCTGGGCCTGCTCCCTGAAGGGGCTGCAGTGTCTCCCCTCGAGTGCCAGGGCACTGGCACTGTAAACGTGTTCTGGAAAGTGTGCAAGTGTCAAACACAGTCCTCCTTCACTTCCCATCAATGTTTTAGAGTCAGATTTAGTGCTTCCAGTAGCAGACTGGCATGCCTGGTCCATGGTGCTGCACCATTCGAGCCTTCTTCTGGGCCCACGAGGTGCAGGACAAAGGACATGGCTCAGGGAGGGCTCCTGCCAGCGCAGCCACAGCAGGACAGAAACTTGTGCCCCTCACTCTGGCCTTCCTCCCCAGGCATGGAGCAGAGAGGTGAGTGCCAGCCCCACGTGGATCATGCAGAGCAACACCTCAGACCCATGTCCATGCCCTGGGCTGCAGCCAAGCCAGGATGAGGGAGGGGCCCCTTCTGCACTGTCCTACGCTCTGGGTCCCTCTGGGTGCAGCCAGCAGGCTGCCCTGACCAACAGCTCCCTGTGGCAGGAACGCTGTGGCCAGAACTGCACTTCCCTCCTTGTGCCCAGCCCCAAACGGCCCCGGGGGGACAACACACGGGGCCCCCACCAGCACTGCCCCTCTGCCCAGTGGTTTGTGCTCCGTGCCCTCCCTGTGCAGCCTGAGCCCTCTCTGGGATCCCCCCTTGCTCGCAGCGCACAGTAGAAGCTGCCCTGGGGGGTGACAAGGACCCCCGTGTGCCATGGAGCACCGCAGGAAGGGGCAGGGACGCCCCCATCCCCCTGCCCACGGCACCCTAGGCCTGACACACTTGGGAAGGAAAACTCATCCAGTCCGAGCAGACAAACACCAAACACCCCAAACCCAGCCTCACCCTGAGCCTTACAAGCTGTTTTGCTCTCTGCTAATGAAGATTAATAACAGACCAGAAGAGCCCCTAGTTAGAGCCGCCCCAACCGCGAGCCCGGCAGGTCGGAGCTTTTGCCCCTCCCGCCCAGGAGCCGGGCCAGCCCCGTGCCGACCACAAGCTCTCGCTGAGCGAAGCCCAGACGCGCTCCCCCCACGACTCCCGCGTCCCCATCTGCCCCCGGCCGCTCTCTGGGCTCCCTGCTCCCAGGGCTCCTGATGGCGGCTTCCCGTAAGTCTCACCGTAAGCCCACTGCGGCCCAGTGCCCCAGCTCTTCCCACCGGGGTCTCGCAGCCTCCGCCTGCCCCCGAGGTTCTTCGTCCTCTTACGAGGGTGACGCTGCCGCCATCGCCCACGGTGGTGCACCCCCCACCTTCTCTCTCCTCCTGCACCCCTCTGAGCAGCGCCGGTGCCCCCGGGGCTGCTGTGCTGCCCGACTGCCGCTCCAGATCCCCCGCCCTGCCCGGACGGAGGAACACGGCCTGCTCAGCTCGGCCCCGCGGCGGGGTTAGCGCCGGCCACCAGCACGGCCAGGCCGTGTCAACCCTGGGCCCCGCCGGTACCTGCAGGGCCATGGCCTGTGCCGCGCCGGGCGGGAAGCCCAGGCGGTCCCCGGGCCGCAGCAGGAGCCGGTAGAAGTCGGTCTTGCGGTAGAGGAAGCCGAAGAGGACGCGCAGAAACTCCTCCACGTTGCCGACGTGCTGCAGGATGCCCAGCAGCGCCTGGTCATACATGTCGGTGAGCGCGGCCTCCATGGCGACCCCGGGCCCGCTGTCACGGCAACGGGCTCGGCCGCGCTTCCGGTCCTCCCCGCGCGGTCCGCCCGGAACCCGCCCTGCGCGCACGCGTTCCGGCTACCCAGCTGTCCCTCCAGCCCCGCTGGGGTTCCCGGGGCACCCGTGGCCCCCCCAGTGGCGCCGCCGGGACCCCCCGTCGCCTGCCAGCACCAGGGGACGCCCAGATCCCGCCACGTCCCCAGCCATCGCCCATCCTCCCCAGTCCCCCCACGTGTGACACCCCCCCCTCCCCCGCGGGGGGCGGTGGCGGGGCTGCAGTTCCCGCTCCGAACCTCCGGGTGGCGCCGGGGCTCCGCCGCTCGGGGGGGGCCGCGGGCCCGTCATGGCGAGGGGTGCGGCTCCCTGGTCCAGGAGGGCCCTGGGACAGACGGTATCGAAACTGTACCGAAATCCAAAATTACTTCATCAGCTGCTCCCTTTGATCAGCTTATTCAAGGCAGCAACCACCCAACTAACACCTCACTGGCCAGACACTCACCCAACATCCCCCTGAAAATCCATCTCTCCGTGGGAGAGAAGGGTGTTGTGGGGGGCCGTGTCCAAGGCCTTACAACAGCCCAGAGAGATGCCATCCGTAGCCCTTCCCCCATACCAGGTTGGAGTCACTCCATCACAGAAAGCTGGTAAGGCAGGACTTGCCCTTGGAGAACCTCTGCTGGCTGTCTCTAATCGCCTTCTGCCCTCCATGGGCCTCAGCAGAGCTCCCAGGATAATCTTTTCCATGATCTTCCCAGGCACAGAGCTGAGGCTGAAGAGTTGGTAGTTCCCAGGATCCAGGTATTTCTTTTTAAGCAGACATAGGTCTCACTTATGAACATTTTAATGTAACCCTGGAAAAACATATTTTGAGTTTTTATTTACAACTCTAGATACTTCTCAGATTATTTTTAAGTTGTTTAAGGAACTAACTGAAAGTAATAAGGAATTCTATCCAAAACCCATCTCTCTGGCATTAATGCATTGGCATCTGTTAAGTTGGAATACTCAGTTTGGGGCTGGACACACTGTTCATCCACACATGGGGATAAAGCACAATGTTTTAAATTTATCTTGGGCAGGTGGAGTTTCCCTTTCCCAATCATTTGGGTCTTCAGCTGACTGCTGTGACTTTTCCAACAGCACAGAGAGTGGCCTGGAAACTCCATCAGCCAGTTCCCTCAGAGCTCTGGGATGCACCTTGGCAGCATGTGCTTTAACTTTTGTTCAACCGACACTGAAGTTCTGGGCTTTTCCTCTTTCCCCTGTCTCTCGGTCTCTCAGGCAGAGGAACCGCACAGCCCTGAGGGTGGTGGGCGATGGCAGTGCAGCTGCTACAGGGACAGGAGCCTTGGGGCAAGGATGGTGCTCTGGGCAGGTCAGTGTGTGAGGGGAGATTGATGCCAATGGCATTGCACCTTCCCAGGGTCCAGAGCTGGGATGGGGTCCAGACTTTGGATGGGAAATGGGCAACCAAGAGAGATGAAGACTCAAGGCACTGTCTGGTCAGTGCCATGATTTTTTTCTTCTTATTCCCCCACTTCTCACCAATTCAGCCAGACCAGGGGAGGAGGGTTCCTGCCTGGCCTTTGGCTGATCCCTTGCCACTCTTGGGGTGATTTGGCTCTGGCTGCATGGCACAGCCGAGCTGCAGAGCCAAGCGTAGGGACACCCAAGGCAGGGCATGGTTGCCCCGAGGCTTTGAAGGACTTTGACCAAGCCCATCCGCACTTCAGGGAACGCTGCTCACGCTCAAGATGAAGGCACTGTATCCCTTGTTGCGTGTGTCCATCCCCAGCCCTGTTCCCCCCCGTCTGCCCTTGTCCCAGGGGCTCCATGCTCCTTTCTGCGTGGGGCCATGTCCAGGAGTCCTGCACAGACCTGTCAGGCCTGGCTGCTTCCCCCAAGGAAGGGGAGAGGGCAGTCACCCCCCACCACTGCAGTCCCTGCTGGCCATGCCTCAGCCCTGGGGGCAGCTCAGTGCTCGGGGCTGGTTCTAATCTGGGAGTAAACGTGGCTTTTGTACTTGCTGGGTGCTGTTTTACAGTGCCCCCAGTGCTCCCTCCCCCTCCTGCACAAAGCAACTTGGAAAAATGGCTTTTAGTGGAACACACCCAGGAGTAAATGTTTCAGAAAATTATAATCTATCACCACTCCACTCTCAAATATACCCATACCTCCCACCCACCACCATCCCCCTCAGTGCTGGCTGCCAGAACCTGGCACTTGCTGGGGGGGGAGGTTTGGCCTGGTGCTCTTCTGCTTCTCCCCCCACTTTTCATGTGGCCCCTGCCAGGCTGGGACGTGGCAGGCTGGGATGGTGGTGGGTCCATCCCTGCACTCCACCACATCTCCCAGGGCCCCATCCCGCCAGTGGTGACTTGCTCCAGGCTCGGGACTGTGGTGCTCTTGTGGTGCTCTCAGACTGTGGTGCACTGTGGAGTCCCACAGTGAGACTGAGCAACTCTGCCAGCAGCAAGAGCAAGCCAATGTCTCTGTGGAGGATGGCTTCAGGGTTCCAAGCCTTGGGGACGCTGCTGAAGCCATCCTGTCCAACCAGGGGGCAATCCCAAAGCATGTCCTTGGGCAGTGTTCATCCCTGAGGAGGATGTGGCTGCCCTGGCAGATGTGGCTGCCTGGGGAGGCCTCTGTGATGGTGGCCATGAGGAATATCAACAACACTGTGCGGGCTGGGGGCACTGCTGTCCCCTCTGTGCTGCTGCCAGCGGGGTCCCCAGGCACGGTGGCCACTGCACTCTTTTGCACTCCTTTGGTAGGTAGTGAGGTGTCGTGATGGACCTCTCTGGTCTGGGCAGCTCCTGGGGCCCCCCAGGGCAGTGGCACCATGGCCCAGTATGGAGGTGACCAGCGGAGGTTGGGTTGGTGCTGGTCCAGTGGAGGCAGAAGCTCTGAGGGTTGAAGAAGCAGTTACATGGAGTCCCCCAGACCTGGATGAGTGCGAGCTGTGCTGGGCCAGGGGGAACCTTTGGGACACCTGCTGAGCCAGCTCCCATTGCTGATGTCCCCCAGCTTTGTGCCAGGCACATGGGGAGCTGGTGGCCAGGAGGTTCCCACAATGAGAGCTGCTGGGCCATTGGAACAGGGCAGCAAATCAGGGAGGAGAAGGGAGAGGTGGCCCCAAAGAGCTGCTTGCTCTGAGCCAAGGACTTTTTCGTGTCTCATGCTCTACCTGGGAAGATGTGCCCTAAAATCTGGGAGGGAGCATGGCTGGGACAGCCCCCCCGAACTGGCCAAGGGGATACTCCACATCACAGAATGTCACACCCAGTATATAAAGTGGAGAAGTTATCTGGAATGGGAGGCCAGTCAGGGTTTGGGGACTGGCTTGGCATTGGTCAGCAGGTGGTGAGCAATTGTAATCTACATCACTTGTTTTCTTGAGTGTTCTTTCCCTCTCTTGCTCTTCTCTTTATTATTATTATTATTATTATTATTATTATTATTATTATTATTAAAGTGTACTTTGTTTCAATTATTAAACTGCTGTTAGCCCACCAGGTCTATTTTATTCGCTTTCCTGAGTTCCCTCCCCACCCCATCAAGGGCAAAGTGAATGAGCAGCTTCGTGGTGCTTGGTTGCCAGCTGAGGTTAAACCAGGACGGTCCTTTTGGTGCCCAATGTGGGGCACGAAGGGTGTCAGCTCCCAGCTCCTCCAAGGGAGCTTCACGAGGCATTTGGTCCATGTTTGGGGTGGGTCTGTGCTGGCAGCTGCCTGACACTCCTAGGCAGTTCCAGGAGCATTGAGGTTTGCTCTGGAGACAGGTGAAGTCCCAGGTAGTCTGCAGAATTTTCTAAAGCAGCTCCCCAGAGAGCCTTTTGGCACCGGGGAAGGACTGTGCTTGCTTGATCTGTCACTGGCAACTGCGGAATGTTTGGGCCTCTGCATTTGTGCTTAATTAGATGCTCTTACTTTTGGTCTGTGTTTGGCCCAGCCACCTGCAAGAGTCTGTTCTTTTCCTGCCAATTTATGTGAAAACAAGCACTGATAAAGGAGAACTTCGTCCTTGAAGGAAGCATCCTGTATAAACTGAAATTAATTGGTGACTGGCTATTTGAAGGAGAAAGTGACGAGGAGGATGATGAAGGAAGCCCCCCGACTCATTTAGAAAAGAGCCTCCATGTGTACACACGCATGTGCAGAAGGGGCACCACTTACATCAGGGGGAAGGGACCAAGGACCTCTGGCTGGGCGGTGCTGGCCACACCTGTCCAGGTAGATGTCACAGGTTAATTGTATAAAGAGCAGATAGCTCTTGCTGGGAGCAGATTCAAGCTTTACACAGGCAACGTTGTCTTTTGTGGGGACGCCTGCTATCTCGTAAGCCTGCCAATACTCCGAGAATGCAACTTCTGCTATGGGGAATTCTAAACGTTCTGGGGTTGGTTAGAAAACCTCATTGGTAACACCTGAGTGAGTGGGGGGTTGTCTTGGGGGCTTGTTTCCCTTCTCTTTCCTGTCTCTCGGCTTCTTGTTTTGCTGGCTACTTCTTTGTAATAAATATTGTTTTGTTGAGCTTTCAGCGGTGTACTGGTTTCAGTTTTGGCAATCTCCCTGCTACAGCCTCCCTTGGGGAGGGGAACGCTGCCGGTAGAAGACCCTGCAAGGTCACAAAGCCCCCCATGAGGTCATAAGGCCAAGCCATGGTGTGCAGTGCAGGGTGGGTGCTGCAGGCACCGCTCCAGCAGCAGCAGTGACAGCAGTGACAGCATGGTGCAGGCGCGGAGGGCCCTGGCCTTCATCCTCCTCCTGGTGGCCCTGCCAGCCGGAGGTATCGGGGCTGCTCCGTGGCGACCGTGGGCAGTGGGTAGGTGGGCAAGCCAGGGCCAGGCCCCAACTCTGGCAGATGCCCATGAGGAATGGCCCTGGAGGCCCTGGCACAACAGAGGGGATCTCTCCTGGGAACTGGGGTCCAAAGGGCTGCACCAACGGGTCCAGCATGGCTTGGAGGGACCCTGCACCGTCCTCCTGCAGCCTCTGTGCCTGACCCATGCTTAGGCTTTACCTTTCCC